CCCCAAAACCCCAAAACCCCAAAACCCCAAAACCCCGAGATAATAGAAAGGGATTGAATGTTTTTATATAAATATGGAAGACAAAATATCACTTTTTGATAAATCTGAAAAGAAGATTGATATTTACCAGGAGGCGACAATGTCTGGTCTCCAAAATCCTTTAAGTGTTTTTCAAAGTAAGTGGTAAATAACAGAACTAATGCGAACATCTTTTCTAGTGTCTGAATTACAAGAAATCGGTGATAAGAAACAACAGCAAACAGTACTAGAAGAGTGCGAGGAGGAATCAGATAATAATGAGGTTAGTAGCTTTAAAACCTAAATTTATATTAGGGCGTCATCCCTTCAATTGAAAATAAAATTGATATCAATTCTAAACGAGAGAAAGGCAAGATAAGATCAAGAAAATCGAGAGCACGCAAGAAGGCCTATATAGAACAACTTGAAGCTAAGATTGAGAAGCTTGAAGCCGAAAATTTCAGGCTCCAGAACTTACTAGTATCATATAGAAATGACAAATTGGAAGTCTTAAACAAAGATTCTTATAATTTTATGCAATCATCTCAAGGTCTTAAGAATCAATCTTTAGAAAGGATTGCTATTTTTGCACCATCTGAACTTACCAAAAATGAGAAACTATCCGTATATCAAGACTTTGAAGAAGTTATATCTAAGCTGATACCTCAGCATCGTGATTTTTTGGATACAACATTTGAAGCTTTGATCAACAGCCCTTTTCCTGGGTTTAAGATGAAACATTGGGGAGATTTAGGAGACACCCCAATAAAGAGCTTTGAAGTTATTCAAAAATATTTGAAATTGCCCAAGACTCATATAGAAGATTACAAAGAAGAGCATAGTATGACTCCTTCAGATATAATGATTGCTTCTCTAAAACCAAACAAGAAGCAATACAATTTCCTTGTAAACCTCTTTACAAGAGAGAGGCTAATAATGAACAAATTCAAAAACGGCATCAAACTGTTACTAGAAGCAAAGAAGATTTTTGAAGAAACAATTCCGAGCTTAATGATCACTATAAGATACTTCTTAAAATCTGGTATTTTTACAGATGAAGAAATTCGTGACTCCAAAATTACAGAAGCATTCATCTCCAAAGACAATGCTTATAATGATATCTGGAAGATCAAGGTCCAAAGGACTTGCTGCAGAGACGACCTGGCAGACTGCCCCATAGTCGGGAAGACAGCCACTAAGAGGTTCAGGAAGAAGGAAAGGATCGAAGAGATATGGTACAACCATTTCTTTATGGATTAAGTTATAGTTTCCAATGTTTTCCAGACAGGGGTTTTGGGGTTTTGGGGTTTTGGGG